CTAAATGCGATCAAAGGTTTGCATCTGTATTAATACCTTATGTAATTAAAATGGGACAAGGATTTGAAGGAGACACATCATTATACATGTTACAAACAATGGTTAATTTATCTGAATTTGATATTGAGTTTGTATGTAGAATGGTACATTCACATGAAGTAATGGAATTTTTAACAGGAATTATGAAAATGAGGTATGGTGATTTTCAAAAATTTGTATTACAATTTATTAGTAATTGTCATGACAAATATCCTGATACTTATAGTTATATTTCTAATTTATATGAATCTACTATTGACGTGTGTTGGCAGGCATCAAATGCAATAATTATTCAAATGTTTTCATTTATTAATTCTGTATTAATAACACCAAAATACACTGAAAGTGCTATTCAAGTTATTAGAAATAATGAGAGATTTATTTCTTTTTTAATTACATCAACAGCTAATCAAAATGTAGAAGCTGCATTTTTTTCAATTGAGTTAATGAATTTTATGTTGATGGCTAAGAAAGATGATTTTAATTTAATTCAAGAATTCCAAAGAAAAGGAATAATAATTCATGTCCTTTCCGCTTTAACAAGACCTTCAGTACAAGAAAACCCTAATATAGTTTCTGATTTACTTGATATTATTATCGTTTGTATGTCTTATGAAATAACCAATGAATCAAATAATATGGTTGGAGAGAATTTTGACTTTTCGCCTATACAAGACTTCGAAGAAAAAGATGGAAAAGAAGTCATTGACACTATTTGTTTATTATTCCCTGAATTTGACAATAAAGTTAACATGTTTGTTTTTATTATTTAAATATCCTTTACATCAATAATACTCACTAATTATAGAATTAAACAAATTGTTTTTTCTAAAAGAAATGATGTATCGAATCATCTTTAATCATCATTAAATGTTATAAAAAACAAAAAACATTTTAAATAAAATGTTTCTTTTTTTACTATTCATTCTTTTTTTATTGATTACTTCTTTTCCTGTGTGTTTTTATTTCTATTTCATTTTCATTTGTATCATTATTATGTGATATTATCATTAATTTTGATGAGACGTTTTGTTATTTCTTATTTTTTATTATCTTCTCTTTTATTAATTTCATTATTGTTATTTAAAACAATAAAAATGAAATGACATTTATTAAAATAATAAAATAATAAATAATGATGTGTTCTAAACGTGTATTTAGTTATTTAATCATCTTATTTTAATCTGATATTCATTAAATCAAAATGGAAGAGTTAATAAACAAGAACACTCATTTCTTTAAAGAAGAAATAGAAACACTTCCAAATATCAACAATCAATCGATGATATTAATAAACATTATCAATATTATTTAGGAAGTATTAAAAATGAAATATTTGAAATAAAAGCAGATGAAACATATTCAGAAGCTATTAAAAGAGGAGAAGGAATATTTGATAGAATTGATGAAACAGAACAAAGAAGAAAATTAATAATAGAAAAAAGTCAAGAAACGATTAAAGTAGTTGAAATAATAAAGAATCAAATGAAGAAAATAATAGAAGAATGTAATAATGATGAAGAAATACTAAGTAAAACACGGAATGAAATAATCAATAAAATCATTTCAATTGAAGAAATGATTATGAGAGATAAACTATTTAGAACACCAGAAGAAAAGGATAAAATCACACAAACATTTAACAAAAAGAAACAAGAATGGAACACATATTACAGTGATTATTTTGAGAGAAAGAAACAAGAAGAAAGAAAGAAACAAGAAGAAGAAAGATTAAGAATAATGAAAGGAATGAATACAATGGAAGAAATGAAACAACTAGAAGAATGGACAAATAGAAAAGTGTCAAATATATTATTTGATTCAAATATTGATGGTTGGAATAAGAAAACATCAGTATTTAATCAAAGAATAATAAATAAAGAACATATAATAATTATTATTGAAGATACAGAGGGAAATAAATTTGGAGGATATGTTAATGTGAAAATTGATAAATTTGATTGGATAAATGATCCAAAATCATTTTTATTTTCATTAAAATCAAAAGGAAGAATAAAAGGAATGATGAAATTTGATATTAAATATACAGAATATGCATTTTGGTTATGTGACCAATCATATGATTGGTTGTTTGAATTTGGATTAGGTGATATTCGTGTTTATAAAGAAAATAATAAAACAAATTCATATTGTAAACACATTTCATTTTCATATGAAGGAATAACAAATGTACTTTGTGGAAAACGTAATTTCACACCACAACGAATTATTGTAATTGAAATGAAATGATTTTTATTCATTATTATTTATTTGAAATATAAAAATTAAAAAAGAATATAAAATAAAATCAATAAATGAACATTTCATCTATCAACAAATGAAATGATTAATATAAAAATGGTCATATTTCATTCTTGTTTTATTTTATTTGAAATATTCATATTCAATGTGTTAATTTAATAAATAATAAAAAGAGATAAGAATAAAATATAAATAAAAATATAATAAAATATTTATTTTATTCTTTTATTTATTTTTTATTTTATTTATTTTATTTTATATTTATTTATTTTATTCTTCTTCTTTTATCTTTATATCTATTATATATTTCTTATTTTATTATTTATGTTATATTCTTATATCATTTTATTCTTATTTTATATTTATTCATTATTATTCATTTCATATTAACAATGATAAATAACAATACAACATATAATAAATAAATGATATAAGATAAACAACAATAAATAATAATAATAAAATATAAACAAACAATATAAACAAATATAAAATGATAAAAAGATCATCTAATATAAAATAATAATAATAACAAATAATAAAAATAAGAAATGAATGATGATTAGAAAAGAAAAAATTGACAAAAAGAAGAAATGAGTGATGTTAAGAAAAGATAAAAATCAATATATAATATAAAATATAAAATCAAATATAATAAATAATAAGATAAGAATGATTATATCTTATTTTATTATTATATTCTTCTTTATACTCTTCAGTACTTATAATTTTATACTTATTATAATTAATTTGTAATATCAATTTCATTTATAAATGATTTATATTAAATATTATAATTTATTTATATTTAATAAATGATGAATTATTATTGATTATTCTTTATTTTATTCACTTATTTTATTCTTCATTTATTTGACTATTTACTTATATTGATTTTGTTTATATTAAATTATCTTCATTTGTATTTAATTTATGATTTATTTGAGCATTATTCATTTTATTATTTATATCTATTGGATTAATTTAATCAACTGAATATTGAAATAAGATCATAAAAATTCAAACAAGTAGAACTTCCTTGTAAAGTACTTTAAATAAGTTATTATTTTATGAAGTTTTTCTTGGTTCGAATTTCTTTAAATTAAAAATAAATGAATAAATTTATAATTCTTTCCTATTCATTACACTTTTTGTTTATTTATTCTTTTATTTTTATTCTTCAATTCTCTCATTGTTTCGTCATTTTCAACTTCTTCTAAAAT